TTCTTAATCAACATACCTGATCTCTTAAAGTGCGTTTCATCCGCTGTTAGCTATGTATTTAGTACTTAATTCATTTATTTTGAATAAATTTAAAAGTTGTATTTAAATTCAAACTTGTTACAAAAAGTTTCTGTTTATATGATGCAAAAAAAATTAAAGTATGCCCAGCGGTAGGTATCTATAACCGACAATTTTAATTCATTTTTATCACAATTAACGTATATATTTTCCATGATATTTTCTGATATACAGAAGTCAATAAATTATTCATTGTCGAAAATTATTAGTTTTTAGCGCTGTTTTATTTAATAAATATTTATTTTTGAATATCTGTTGAATGTCAGTTAAATAATTTGAGAACCACATATTCTTATTGCCGTGCGAACGATATTGCTCAATATTACAAGTAATAACTTTTTCATGTATTGCATTTCCAATATCTGACCAATCTAGGTTAAATGTTCCAAGAACAATATCTTATTAATGATGTTAGAACAATATATGCACAATATTCAAAATAATTATTTGTCCGTTTATTGAAATTACAATATTTGTTCAATGTTGGCTAAATGTTGTAAGTATAATATCTTGTAAATGTTGTAACAACGATATTTGAACAATATTCAAATTAATTATTTTTTCGTTTAATGAAACTACAATATTTGTGCAATATTGGCTACATATTGTAAGTATAATATCTTCTAGATGATGTAAGAACGATATTTGCACAATATTCAAAATAATTATTTTTTCGTTTATTGAAATTACAATATTTGCTCAATGTTGGCTAAATGTTGTAAGTACAATATCTTTTAAATAATGTAACAACGATATTTGCACAATATTCAAAATAATTATTTTTTCGTTTATTGAAATTACAATATTTGTTCAATGCCGGCTAAATGTTGTAAGTACAATATCTTCTAAATAATATAACAACGATATTTGCACAATATTCATGATCATGATTTTTACTTTCATTGGAATTACAATATCCATACAATATTATATAAATATAAATTGTACAATATTTAATGGCAAATATTCAGACGATATCGTGGCAATATTGAATTTCACTGACAAATATTCAAATATTGGTACGACATAAAAACGTGTTAAACACAATATTCATTTCTACATGGGATGTAACTGTGAAGGGACAAAAAGTTAACAACTAGGAGGCTAAACCGCTCCTTTTTTTAAAATTTTTTACATTTCTTTTAAATAGTTTGATTTTTAAAACGTCGTACATCTAAAATAAAACTTATGTATCCTTATCGGAGAAATTATTTGGCTTTATGTAGCGATAAATTTATTACGAGCAAGTTTTTCCCGATTACTTTTGAAACTTACACATACGATTCCGGACTTTTAAAAAAAGTCAGTGTCCCGTTTTTGATAAAGTGATGCTAATTAAAAATCTTGTAACCCGATCAGCCATCATAATCATTGGTTAACCTCATCCAGCAAGTCGTTGGATTACCCAGTTTGTGTGTGAAAGTAAGTTAAACTGTCGGCTCTATGTAAAGTGTATTCCCATTGTCCGGACCTGTTAATTTGAAATATTAATTTGACTAATCCGTGAATACTGATTTTCTCTTGAGATCTCTTGAATTGTTTCGTTTTTTTTATTTGTGCGTTTTGCAAACGAGTTGTGTTTGTTATAAAAAAAAGCGTTGTTAACCTTAACTTTTTGCAGATTGTTGTATTTGATTTTTTTGTCATGATATATCTTTTCTTGTTATTAATCAATTGTGTGTCAATTTGAATCCTTATTGGAGATACAGGTAAAGTTTAATTCTTACTGTTTGATTTTACACATTTCTTTTAATCCGACTATTAATTTTGTATAAATTTTTAAGTTTCGGGCAGGACTTCCGAGTTAAATTCACAGCTCAAAGAGTGCAATGTCCCAATTTACATAATAATTTAGGAAAAGCATCGTAGAATTAATATAAAAATTAACGTTTTAATTAAGTGTCTGGCTTACTTATAGTTATTAGCTACAGTTCCTACTAAATTCTGGGATACAACCTAGTCGCGTACAGTTAAAAAATCCTTTATCAACGATGTACATTTATATTTGTATATTGCTATTTCTATTTGGTAGGTAACAGAATGAACACAGACCAGATTTTCATTTCTAGAAGAAAATAATACAAAAAATTCTCCGCTAGTCGAAACGTTCGCATTTCCATCCCTTAACTTTCCAAATGTTACTCTCTTAAGAAAAAAAACTCATTTTTATGCCTTTTAAGTTCGAAGAAATATCCCCTTGCATATTCATGGAACTTCCATTATTGTGACGGATAAAATTGAGAACGTCGCGAGCTTAGTCTACGAGAAAAGAAATGGAATATTTTTGTAAAATAATTTGCATTTTCCTTTCACGGCTACAAATCGTGTTAATAACTTTGGAATGTGTCTACTGAAAAATCGATCGTTACGCGATAGATTATTTATAAGAGATTCATGTACTCGTATTTTACTGTTGGCCTGTCGTATGTAAGGTATGTGGAAATTGTTTTTCCAAAGTATTTACCATGCTATGTATTTTATACTTCTATTTAATTAAATTTGAATAATCGTTGAACTTCTACTAAAAAAAAACATCACGCCCCTCCTTATATATTATATGGGCGACAACTAAACTACTATAGGGGCTCGTATTTTAAAACGGCTTCAGATAAAAAATTGAAATTATAACGAAAGGACTGAAAAATGAGCATATTTTAAGGACTTTGTGCTTCCGAATGTTCTCAAATGCTCTGGAACAAAACGCGTCATATTTCCCGGAAAGATTACGTCACATCCGCCTTCGTTCTTTATCGGCGATAACTAATCTTTCATGGCGCCTCGATGTCTACCGGGATTTCTGCAATATATTAAGGCTATAAAAATTTTTAAATGCACCAACAATATTTGTCACCGAAACGTGATCTCCTTGGTTGATAATTAACGGCCCCCAGCATTCGTATTCTCAAGAGAACTAGAGAAATAAAGAGCAAGAATTTAATAAAAACTTTTCAAGAGCATTTTAACTGCCCTTAATCCCACTAAACTCACTGGCTACATAGAAATTACTGCCGATTTTTTGTAACATACCTCAATCCACATACCCGAACATATTGACGGCATTACAAGTGTACAGAATTTCCCCTTATAACGGTAATTGAATGTTACCTTTCAAGATTCAAGACAGAATCCACATAAAAAATTAGATAAAGTCTACATTTACTTTCACATGACATACATAATACGACCGTGGACAATAGTCCAGATACGAAACCTAGACAGCGATTAAACATCCCGCGGTTGATTAGTCGCCTCTTACGACATGCAGTGTCTCTGCAGTAGGGTTATTCTTTCCCGACCCTACACGGGTATGACAAATTACTAAATGGATTAAGGAATAGTGTTCAACTAAGAATAACATAATCATCTCTGAGTTTAAGTTGCACTTTCCCCATCACGACGCTAAAATTGAGATGATTGTCGGTAGCAACTAAAATGGAAGAATTTAATCTCTGAAAAGCAACGGAGAACAGGCATAAGTTACACAGTAATGGTTATTACTTAGAGATACCAAAATCCAACTATTGTTTCGACAATTACTAGAGGCGATTTTTTGTACAGAGAAAAATTCTGTTTACGAACATACTGTTATTTACTTTTTATACATGATTTTTAGGAGTATTTGCTATTCAGAACCAGAGTTTGCATTTTGTGGAAGACAGAACTGGAATTTAACTACAAGCACAAAAATGTAAGAGTAAATGAAACGCGCTTGTTTGGTTTTATTACACAACAATGACCTTATTCTCATATTCCAAATTTTAGAATACAGTAAATTGAAAATAAATTGAATCAACAAAAACAAATACACTTTTTCTTTAAGATTATACAGTGCGTTCGAGATGAGAGGGTCACCTCAATATCTCTTTTATTTGGCGAGATACGAACAATTTGTTTTATATGTCATTGGTCTGTAGGTAAGTATATGAAAAATTAGGTACTAAACCCTCTGTAAAATATACTTTTGAGATCATGAATTTTTAAAATATTCCAATAACGATCCTTACTATTAAAATTGAGTAGTTTTGTGTAAGCTGTAGGTTCCTATTGGTGTAAGAATTTTTAAAGCATACCTTACTGCAACTTAAATCAGTACATGATTGGGCTTTTTTTAGTTACCCAAAAATAATTTCTTGTGTAATTTTCAATAAATCGTGGGTTGTAAAAATAATCTAAAAACTGACACAACGATCCCCTAGGGCCTAGTTCACAATAATCATGCTAATAAGGGGTGAAGACGATAGAATACAAATAAAATTTGCAATTTAATTGTTAGAATAAATGTAATAATTATTTGGAACTGGTGCACGGTTTCGACTATACATTCTTCGACTTTTGCACACCCTATAATTTAAAACTAACCAGATTGCGAAAATAGCTTATTATTGAATTTCTTCTATTTTTTAAAATAGGCACTTTATTTGTTAACCCACACGCCAGACCTCTGCATTATTCCATCCTTCGAGTATAAGTGACGTACCATTTCAGCACTTTGATATTTGTTTAGCAAACTTAGATAGAGATGTTGTCATTTCGAGTTTAGATCCCTTTTCCTAAAGGGGCGAAATCACGCTAGGTGATAAAACCGACCTCTGGGTCATTATGTATACAAGTTAAGGGGTGGCAAACTATTTCAAATGAATAATTAAAGGGAGTTGTAGAAATTATCAAGCCTCGTGAGAAGTTGCAAACAATTAAATAACGGGACAGTTTCTAGACAGAGGGCTAAACTTGCAATAAGTGGAAATGGATTGAACCTGCAGACATTACTCAAAGTCCGCATTGATCCGTTACTTTTGCAAGTGCAGACGACGGTAAAGCTTAAATTTTGTGACTTCGAGCAAGCAAAGGGAACGAATTCGTAATCCATTTTGTTCTTGCTGAATGCTTTACATTTTTATTTCCACTGGTAAATTTCGTTTCAGAAAGCCGACCCGCTCGCAAGGATTACAACAAGCTCGCAGGTGAAGAGATTAGCGTAGCGTCGTCAAAGGAGGAGCAGCTGGATAACGAATCGGTGTGCCGGAAAAATTGCGCGCAAAATGAGCATCACGATACGGACACGGATTCCAGTTTTACCGACTTCGAAATCGACGAAAGGGATGACTTTTCTGATGACTCCGATTATGGTAAGTGCTTATTTATTCATCATGGGCAGAGCCTGTGTGCTCTGAATGTCTCAGTACCTGCCTAGAAAAATAATTTGGAAATTTATCAGTGCCAGGTTGAATTTAGGAGCGTGATGAATTGATTCAATCTTTTATCCTTATACTCCTATCCCTTAAAATTACGTGTCATTACATTGTGTTTGGTTATTCTAGCATTAATCTACTTATACTATGGTCGGACGTGTACGTCTAACGTTTATATTTAGCAAATGTTGCCATGCTCAGGGAAAAATACCGCAATGCATGTTACGATGCTCGTCGCATGTGTAAATGTAATTCAAGAACGCTTCAGTTGACAGGATAATATGAAACTTCGTAACAGCGCACAGATAGGTCATGTTATGTGATGTACCTGGGAGTAACAGCGTCACATGTGCGCATTATATACTTGTTATTTACAAAGCGAAATTCAAAAGTTCAATTAAATGTTCGGAAAATGTCACGATTATATTATAAAAGTTGGAGAAAGAAAATCAACGATGTAGATCGTTCATGCGAAAATTAAATCGTATTTCGAGATTTTTCACTTATAATTGCACAAGAGGTTTGTATTTTACCGAGTAAATTTGGGTTGTTTAGGTAATGAAAATCTGTTGCCTAGCAATTAGACGAGAAAAACTGTCAACTAATAAAAATGCGACACCGCAGGTGGAGCATTTTTAGGTTGACAGTTTTTCGAGTTAAATTGCAAAAAGGCAACAGATTTGAATTGCAACAACACAATTTTACTCGGTTTAAATACAACCCTCGAGTGTAATTCGGCAGGACAATTTAACGAACAAGAAATTCACATAACTAATCAATTACTGACAGACGTCAAACTAGTCATATGGGAAAGGATAATGCGATAATTGGTTCGGAAATGAATAAGTGAAAAAACCACTAGTGCATTTGTCGCTGGAAAAATTGCAGGTAACTTTTGCCGCTGTCAAAGTGACAATTTCACTGCGGCTTATGCGATTTTTTATACATGAGTTGAATTGTCAAATGCGAAAAATGTGAATAACTTGGCCGTCCGATTTCGTAAGTTATTCATACTTGTTTCTGCACTACTATTTCATCTGAGCATGTGATTAAATCGATAAGAGTAATTTATTTCAGGAACTAACGAAATAACTGAGCAAAAATGTGTACTACAGCAGAATTCCAAAAGTGTAAAAGAATTTCAGAATTCCAAAAAAAATTCTATCAGACTTTCAAAAGACTGGAAACTGCAAAATAATTCGATTGAATTCCAAAAACTTTCATAGATTTTCAAGGAATTTCATTGACTTCCAAAGAAACCAGTGATTCCAAAAAGAAATCCAGTGAATTCCAGTGGGAATAAAGTTGATATTAATGAACCGGGTGACCCAATAAGACTGTTCCTCGGCCATATCTCGGGAACCGTTCGCCGTACGAATTAGGGGTAAAAAAATTATTGGGTAAATCAGTTAGTGTTGCCGCGAGACGAGACGAGACGAGACTTTCGAAAGTCTCGTCTCGTCTCGTTACCTCGAGACGAGACCAAGTCTGAGTCTCGTCTCGTCCTGGTTCAGTCTCGTCTCGTCTCGTCTCGTCTCGTCTCGTCTCGTCTCGTCTCGTCTAGTCTCGTTTGGTCTCGCCTGGTCTCGAGACACTATCCAAATATAGTGTATGTAGGTAGAGCAATGAGCATATGGCATATAAAAGACCACGAACTACGAAGGCATGACAAGTAAATAATAGGAGTAATATAGTAGGTACGAGAGCCGGACGCATGGAACCAGTAGTGATAAGCTAACAAGATGAAATCTTTGTTAGGTACTGGATTCCTTGCAACTTGAATAACACAAAATGAGTTTTCTGCCAGCCTTTTTCTGGCCGGAATGTTATTAAAAATAGGCACTTCCGGTGAATTTTTTTCCGCAAATTAAACCAAAAACCAAACCACCTGAAATTGATAACCGTAGGTTGAGGGCGATGGGTTTTAAGGAATAATTCTTTTCTACCGAGTTTTGTCCAGCCGGAAATAGCGGCAGAAGCGGATTAATTGAACTGTTTTTTTGTGAATTGCTATACTCATAACACAACAACTGGAGGCCTCAAGATGGCCTCCGTGTCCGTGGGCACAATTAAACAAGATATGTACGAAGAATCGCATACGATTTTCAGGGAATTTTTTGACAGCTCGTAATCGGAAACACGACTTCTAATCCGCAGTGATCCTTGAACTCATAGAAATCGATTCGCAAAAGTTTATCTTTTTTTGTTCTCGATTTAGACTATTCCGCTAAAACAGTACAAATAAATACAAACAAATCCGAGACCAAACGAGAGTCTTTTTTTGTTCTCGATTTAGACTATTCCGCTAAAACAGTACAAATAAATACAAACAAATCCGAGACCAAACGAGAGTCTCGGCGAGACTCTCGACGAGACTCATGCTTAGTCTCGTCTCGTCGAGACGAGACGAGACGAGACTGAACCTCGGTCTCGTCTCGAAAATTCGAGACGAGACGAGACGAGAGTCTCGTCTCGGCGGCATCACTAAAATCAGTCATGAAGAATCGCTGGAAAATAGTTTCAAGTTCTAAAGGTACCTTTACACTATCATACTTCTCATGTGATTTGTCATATGATAAGTAACAAGCATTTAGATTAGTGTTTACACTACACTATTTTTGGTATTATGGCTGTCATAAGACAAATCATAAGGAAATAAAACGTAAATCGTGGAATAGGGATGTTTCTATTTCTGCATGACAAATGACATGGCTTATTTTAAATATCCAAGTGATCCCGCCCTTTTATGGTTACTTTTCGCATTTTGCTGTTGTAGGTACTTATCTGAAAAAGCTGAATACTTGAGTAAACCAGTAAACTTTTGATTATATCATTGATTATAGGTGTGTATAATCAATGATTATATAGGTATATTAGTTACTAATGAAAGAATAAATTACATAAACAATAAATCGAGCAATAAATATTTACGAGTATATTGGTATTTGGTTGTCTGGTTGTAGTGGTGTTTTCAGACACACATTGTCAAATAGTATCTTGATTGGTAATTAACCCTTCAAATGTTTGGGGTAATCTTTCAAATAAGGGTACACTCATCCTTAATGTCGACCAAGGGGACGACTCTGTTTGCTTTGCTAATGAAAGGCATAACGCAGAAATTATTTTTAAAATAATTGTTAAACTTTTTTGTTAAAAATGTACTATGATTTTTGAGGCACTTTAGAAGTTCATCTATTTGTGCTATACAGGTGATTTTTTTGAGTTCTAAGTTAGCCTGAAGGTACTTTTTTGTTAAATATTGTGATAATTAGCGATTTATTTTAATACAGAAGTTAACCGCACAAAATTGCTTATTTGCCAATTTATTTAAAATTCTGCGGGATCCCGCAACCACCGGGTTCCCGCGGGATTAACATCTAACGATCCCGCAAATACCGGAATTGAGATTTTGCTGCGGGATTACATTCCCTAGCTGTAACTTTTGAACTAGTAGCCCAATCTTGGAACTGTTTGAAATTATGGATTCTACAGGCCACGTTCTATAAGAAAAATTTTTTTCCGGGTCGATCTGAGACAATTTTTTTCGGGGCAAAGAAGGCAGTGTATAACCTTCCTTTTTTCCAAAAATCGACTGCACTAAAAAATTTCTCGGTAAAACACTTTTTCTTATTAATTTTGGTGCGTAGAATCCAAAACAATTCGTACTTTTTCGATCAGACCTCAATCAAATGTTATACACTAGAAACCAATTTCGAAAGAAAATTCAAAGGACTCTAACTTTTGAACTAGTAGCCCAATCTTGAAACTGTTTGAAATTATGGATTCTACAGGCCACGTTCTATAAGAAAAAGTTTTTTTCCGGTCGTTCTGAGACAATTTTTTTTGCGGCCTCAAAAAAAGGCAGTGTATAATCTTCCTTTTTTCCAAAAATCGACTGCACCAAAATTTCTCGAGAAAACACTTTTTCTTATTAATTTTGGTGCGTAGAATCCAAAACAATTCGTACTTTTTCGATTAGACTTCTCAATCAAAAGCTATAGACTAGAAACCAATTTCGAAAGAAAATTCAAAGGGCTGTAACTTTTGAACTAGTAGCCCAATCTTGGAACTGTTTGAAATTATGGATTCTACAGGCCACGTTCTATAAGAAAATTTTTTTTCCGGGTCGATCTGAGACAATTTTCTTTTCGGGGCAAAAAAAAGGCAGTGTATTATAACCTTCCTTTTTTCCAAAAATCGACTGCACCAAAATTTCTCGGTAAAACACTTTTTCTTATTAATTTTGGTGCGTAGAATCCAAAACAATTCGTAATTTTTCGATCAGACTTTTCAATCAAAAGTTATAGACTAGAAACCAATTTCGAAAGAAAATTCAAAGGGCTGTAACTTTTGAACTAGTAGCCCAATCTTGGAACTTGGAACATTCTTGAAGGAAGACTCTAAAAGACCACGACAGTTGCAGGTTCTGAAAGCCTCTAAAGGATGTTGGAGTATCTTTGAGGCCCTTGAAAATGTTTGGAGGCCCATGGAAAATCTTATAGGAGAAACTCAAGATTCCAATATTAAATACTTAAAAGTCTTCAAGGCTGTAAGAACTCTTGAGATCCTTAAAGAAAGTTGGGTGCTCTATTTCAGTCCCTTTCCCTGTCCGTCTGTCTGTCCGTTACAGTTTTCAATATATTGAGTTACACCCAAGTCAGGAAAAATCTTGACGACTATTTAATTGTGCGCATGTGCTGTAACGAAGCACCCGATTTCCGCCTTGAAGTTCATACCCGAAGTTATGACCACACCGTATATTTGTAGAGTCAACCAGCTCTGTTGAATGCTCGGTATAAAGAGGCACTTCGTTACGAAAGTGTTCTGCGGAAAGTATTTGGGTTGGGTCTATGAGTTAAAGGTAGAGGTAACTGATTTAATTTCTAGAGTTGTGTTTCAGCCACCGTTACCGTAATCAACGCTGCAATTAAGCAATCGTTCTCGTCCAGATATTTCAGTGAGTTTTGTTGCGTCCGAAAGCTTTTGTCATTTAGAAGAAGGGGCAAATTAATATTTTAGAATTTAATTAACTTGAATTTGAACACCGGTTCCGTATTTTTCCGACGTCAGGAAAAGACGTAAATTATTAAAAACGTTTTAATTTATTTAAACGTTCCAGTTTGTCCCTACCCGAAATGGACGTTTAGATAATAAATGATAATATAATATAATAAATAAAAACCGACCGAATCGCTGATACCGCCGACCTTGATCACGGACGAGGCGTACCCCTGCTCTAGTCAGTCCGTTCCATCCAGTGAATACCTACGTTGCCGCCGG